TCAAACTCAATCATAAAAGGGTGGTGAATTCCTAATACAGTAAGAGTTTGCCCAGAAAAATCAATATTGGAGAATGACAGCAAAGAGAGTCCTATAAGTAGTATGACTTTGCCATGTACTCAAGTATTTTTGGAGCCCAGACAGTACATTAAGAAGTGACAGATTCATGTAGTTTAGCTGGTGATTTATAAAGTTTGCTAGCTGATTTAATAGGGTGCTAGGAAGCGTTGTTGTTCAACCAAGTAAAGAGAATCATAAAATGGTAATGAATGTTATGACAGTTCATGAATATTTCATTTGGGGTCTCTTTCAGATGCCTGTTAGTTTATCTCAAGATCTTGGAGTATATTGCATATAAATCTGATAGAGAGTAGAACTGCACAGTATGCCAAGAGACAGGCAGGAGAGGTTTGGTGAGAGCAGCTTGTGTTTGAACAAGTGTCTCCAGAGCGCAGTATCGCAGTTAAGTCCTCTACAAAGTGGTCAGGAAATGTGAAGTATCCAGGGCATCAAGCAAGGCACTCATATTTATCTGCTGTTTGTGCATTTAGAAACATCAGGCAGTGTCTTTCAAGCTTGTGGTCTTTACCTGTGACTTCTGAGAGGACTGCTTCACTGTAACCTCACAGGAAAGCTTTTCTTGAAAAGGACAAAGGGATTCCAATCTCATTAAGTTTTTCTTAAAAGCAACTTACAGTGGGGACAGACACCTTTAGTAAGATCAATCTGTAAAAAACACCTCCAACTTTTCTCCTTTAACCTTAAACCTTTCACCTTTAACCTCCACCTTTTCACCTTTAAAATGTGGCATGTTCAGGACTTTGATTTCTGAACAGGTATATTTAGCCTGTAGTCAATTATGTATTCCATCGTTCATTATGTAATAGGTCTTGAATACTTAAAACTAAATCATTTGTGTCATCCAATGCCAAATATTAATGAAAAAAAAAAAATCTGCCAGACATTTCAATGTCTTTTGATCCACACAAGCAAGATGGACCTGCTTCCATGCTGTCCATCATGAGGTGGAAATTCTCATGTTTCCATTTCCTTGGCTGTTTCTTAGTGATACACCCCTTTAAAACAATGAGGTTAAATTTCTAATTTTATGCTTTCTGAAGGCTTGCACCTACTGAAGCAATGAAAGAGCAACACGTGAGGACAGGTCAACAACAGCACCATGCCAGAAGTTCTGTTTAATGGGAATTACACACTCAGAAGGGGTCAAAACAATCATGAAGGTCTTGAAGGAGCTTATACAGGTGGTTTATTGGCTTTCTGTCAGTGTTTGCATAAAAACCAGACTGAATCCCATCCCACAGACTGAAAGCTGTGGGATGAAGGTTTTTGGTTTAGCTAATAAATCCTTTCAGTGTTAACCTGTGGAATCCAATATTCAGCTTCAGTTTTGTGTCTGTGGGAAAGACAAGTTCATCTTTAGGAAGAAGAGGCTCTATTTACAATGACTTCAAAGGAAATTGTTAGGACAGATTCTCTGCCACTGACTGTGTTGGGGCTCAGCATTATACTGATGATTCCACGAATGCTGAGGCCTTGCAGTTTGTCTGGTTAAATCATATTTAAATCTGGTTAAATTTGTGAGGGGTCTCAATTCAGTATTAAAATCTCTGTAGCATAAATCATTATTTACTTTCAGTAAAAAAAGTTCATAAACAAGTTTGGTTTTACCACAGGAATTTGGTGCTGCAGAACAAATAAAAATGTTGAGCCTCCCTGGTTAATCTCATTTCATTATAACCAGCATAGGCAACTGTGGTGCAGCCTCACAGATGTAAACACGAACAATTTTTTTTTTTCTATTATTATTGCATCTTGGACAGTAAAGTACACTGGGAAAACAATATTCACAATTTTTTTCCATGCCTTTTTCAGAAGAAGTCACCAAGATGGACAAAAAAATCAGAAAACATTTATGAAAAATTGCTTGTTCTGTTCTGGTTTGTGTCGAGGACTGTCCTGCAAACTGGAAGGAGAGAAAGATAAGCTGTCCTAGCAGATTTGACTTATGTTTACAGTAATTTGTTTGGCCACCGTTTATTACTTAATAATCAATCTTTATTATTACATTAATTCTAATTGGGATATGTGAAATATGTAGTGCATTGACCACATGACATCAGTTTACTTGCTGAATAATTTAAGCTATTTCCTTCTAATGCCTTAGGCTGCAATATCATTACTTTTTGGCTGTCCTAATATTCAAGTTATATTGATGTTATTTCACTTGTTATTACCTTCTTGACATGAAATTGTTTTTCAAATATGGAAATCTTGCTCAAATACTTCTACATGACAGAATCCTGCATTAGTCTATAATGTATCATAATAACCAAACAGTGCAACATAAAGCACTTGATTTGTTCTCTAACCTGTGCCAGCCTTCACAGTAAGGGGATAAGAGATGCCAGAAGGAGAATTTTGGTCTGCATATTTTTCATATATTCTTATCCATTTTTACAGAAGGCAGGGACTAATCTTGCTGATAATACAGAGGCAACAAATGCACAAGCAGTAAATAGACAGGGTGATTTATCCCACTTCACACTGCTTTATAAGCAATATGTATCACTCCTGTAAGTCGTCTTCTGCTTAAAGAATTGTAAGAAATATATCTCACTATTACTTTTATTGATAAAACAGACAAACCACCTTAATTCATTCTTCATCCAGAGCCTTTTATCACAGCATGGTTGTGATTAGGATTCTGATCACCCTGTGCCACTCTGAGATTGAGAGGCTCTATCTACTCATCTATTATTCTTCACAAAGCAAAGCTCCAGTGTACCATCTGTTTTCTTACTGAATCTTGCATGTAGCTGCAAAGAGCTGGTCACCAGAGATTAAGTCTGGCAAGCTAGCTCTTGGTTTGCATGGGGATAGCTAAGCATTCACTGCTATTGGCCTCTTTAAGTTTCAGATGAAATAAACCACTGTTCTCTGCTGTATTTCAATTTTTATTGTATCTGGTATTTATTTATTTACTTATTATGATTTTCATTTAATTTTTATCCTATCATAATTGATTTTGTATTTTTCTTGCTTTTTTTCCCCAACAAAAAATCACTTGGAAAAAACCCCCAGGAGCCATAAATAACCACACTGTAGAGCTTTAACTGGGGAGAGGTCTGTCTTGCATTTTGTAAGGTCTGGATTAACAAAGGCTGTTTTATGCTGGTGGTGCCTGCCCCTTTTGACACAAGGAACAGAAATGGTTCCTGATATGAGCATGCTCAGATAAAACATGGTATCAGCAGCCCGCTGGATACACCTGAATATCATCATCCTACAACTCCTCTTCTTCACCTTTGCTTTATTTGAAGAATGTAGGATTGACAGAAGCAAGTTTACATTTCCTGCACACAGGTAAGGGACAAGGGGCCGAGCACTGCGTTGGGCTGGGACGTGGCTGTTTGCAGAGCCCCCAACATCCCTGCCCTGTGTCTTCTACTGAACTGAGGTGTAGCTCTACCAGCTCACTGCCATTGAGCTTTTCCCACCTTCCTTGAGGCTTCTTTTCCTTTAAACTACACAATTCTATTGGAGCTTCACAACCTGCAGTATTTTATAATAGTCTGTGCTATTCCCCAAAGAGCAATAGAAAGTAGCTTTTGAGGCTCTTCTTTTTGATCCATTATTTAGAACCTAATTTGTGCTGTCTGCAATCCCCACATCAGTGCCAGTGGTCCTGTAGTTCTGTAAATTCCCTTCAGGACCAGACTAAAATCATAAATCTTTTTTTAGGAGGTATTTAGATATCATCATAGCACAATTTTTTTCAATCTGCACCTCTTACCATGGATTTGATTTCTATAGCAGAGAAGGACTGTCTGAGGAAACAACTCTATTTCTTACTGACTCTCAGCTTCCAGATTAAATTTTTACTTGGCAACAAAACTTCCTTTCCCAAGATGATGGTTAGATTGTGTTGGTCCTGGGCTCAACTCAAGCAAACATTTGTGTTTGTACAAAACCTGGCTATTTTCCTCATATGCTCAGCAGGACACTGGGAACTGAGCCATACAGAGTCAGCAAGACCTGGCGTCATTAGCTCTGGGCAGGTTCTACATCAAGCAATGCAGGTTATTAAACTATGTCAGTAGTAGCAAGTGAATATATTTTTGCTTCATTCCTGTAAATGACAGCTTTATTATATGTACATACTTGAGCAATCATTCTTTTCTTCTTCTCCAGCATGAGTAAAACCATTCTCGTCTTTAAATATGCGAAGGCATATTTTTCACTCCGATTTAATTCATTTTGTGATATCCAATGTTTTGCCTGACACAGCAGGCCGGTGCTGCGTGGTGCAAATCCACAGAGACAGGGGCATGCTGCTGGCAAGACTTGAGCAGAAGTTTTGCAAGCTTCATCTTTGCATCACCAAGGAATTTTGTGTGGGCTTTAAAGCAGCCTAGAAGGCAAATTTGTTGAGTGAAAGGGAGAGGATGCATATGAGAGTGTAAGTTACACAAGGGGCTGCATAACTCCCTTTCCTACTGGGTGATGGGCTCTTGCAGGGGACTCACAAGGCACACAGAGGTTTGATCCCTACTTCAAAGACTACAGGCATGTCTTAGATTAAGTAGTCCTTGAAAAGTTCATCCAGAATGCTGCTCAAAGGAACACCCCAGAGATAGAAGCTGTAATGCTGTATTACCTTGTTTCACTACATAGTCCCTTTCAGAAATACCCCTTTTTTCCCTCCCCTGGCCTTTTCTTTTCTTCATTTTTTGTTTTCATTATTTTTGACGTTGAGTAGCTCCAGCAACAGGAAGTACAAAGTTTGTGAAAACACCCAGAAGAATTACTAACTTTTCTCTAAGTCTTCAGGCAGGAGCTAAGAATCTCATTGTGTGCATTATATAAACAGCTGGGCAGAACGAAACCCTTCAAAGAAAGCAAAGTCTGAAAACTAAAAATGGCATCTCAGAAATTAGTCAACAAAAAAGTGAGATTTATTCATCCATTGTTCTGGGAACTATATAAAATGGTATCAGTGCTAAAAGTACAGCAGTTTGCTGTCATCTGTGACTCTTACCCATGATGCTGTGAAACAGATACCAAAAAGAGCAGCTTAAGACTGGAAGTTATTCATGGTATCTGGAGGGACAGACAAGGCAGTGAAGGGTCTTTGCTTCTGTGACCTATGGTCTCCAAAGCAGCAACAGTCCCAGAGACATGAGTTTCTTCTTCTTCTGCCAATGCTGGTTGCTCTTCTTCGTGGGTGTTTCATTTTGTCATCTCTCCAAAAGAGCTGCTATCATCAACACCAGCTGAAAAAAACCTAGTGTGATCTTATGTAACAGGCCAAAACAATCACTAACAGGGTGGTTTGCCACAGAAATCATCACTTATATTTCTTTACTCAGACCCTCAAACCCTGGGATATCATGGGATGACAAGGTCATGTTAGAATTTTGACCTACTGAAGCCATTTATGCCGCTGAAATGATCCACATCACCGTGTAGCTACTGAGTAACGCTTTCCCTGTAGCTGGGTGCAGTCTCACAGCCCTCAGGCTGGAAGAGTCTGTATGCAAGGGAGTTTGTCATCTGAATTTCTGCAACCCTCCCCCTACCCCCATTCACTCCAGGTCTGACTTCTGTCTACATTGTTCTTTATTTGTCTGCGAGGGTTTTTTAACCATTCTTCCATTATCAAAACAGTTGTTGCAAAACGTATTATCTAACCAAATCTAAAATGTCTGAAATAGTAAGTAAAAATGAATTAAAGGGGATACCTGCTGCTTTTGATTTTGATATTAAAACTGTGAGTGACATAATCCCACTGGTCAGAAGCAGCAGAGTGAGCTGCTAATGGATGTGTTATCTGTGAAATATAGCTATTGCCTTTCCACAGATTGCTTGGGGGAAAACTACAGAACAGTGAATTCTCACATTTCAGACTCCTTCTTGATAAAAATAAATATGTTTGATTATTCAAATATATGCTGATTGAGAAACAACATTCAAAATAGATATCAAAAATTGAAATGGCAAGATGTTTTCATGCTTAGAGCCTAGAGCACGCAAGGTTCATATTCATGATGGTTTCTGCATTAAAGACTCTCTATGGCACTGAACAGCTCTGTCGGTCAGATGCTCAGAGTGGCCACACAACACAGCAATCAGCTTGATGGCATGAAGGTCCTTAAGCAGCTCTTGAGGGTGTGAGTTTGGTCCCCAGGGTCAGTTTCTTGCCTCTAAAACACCAGAAATTTGTTTTATGGTTCGAACTATGCTTCATAGGTACACTGGGAGCAAACACAACACTTTTGAGACTGACACCATAGCAGAACATCATGGATGTAACAATCAAATTCCTAACTTTGCTGTGCTCAAAAGCCAGGTCTGAAATCCATACAGAAATTGAAAAATTTATATCAAAATTTTTTTAAAAAATAGAACTATAGAAATACAGGAAGTACAGATTTTTATTTAATAAAAAGTAGAAATTACAATTAAAAAAATACTGTGCTAAACTTCACTCCGTTTGAAGGTATTTAAATTCTGTTATAATTATTTAAAAGCACAGATAGTATAAATACATGGACTTTATATATGCAACATGGCTAACTTAGGCTACTGTAACACACGTAGTGATGGCAACTGGAACTTGTCTTGTCTTGTAGGGAAACAGTAAGTTAGAAAAGCAAAGTTGAAACTTCCGTTTTTGTGGTGAAAACTACTCAGTGTCTCTTAACCTATGGCTTTTATCATGAAATGTGTTTAAGGAAGTAAGGCCACGGGTACTTCATTTTATTTATTTAATATCTTGAATTATTAAAAAGTTAGGTGCTGCCTGGAAGAGTTTTCCATTGTTGTATGAGCTATCAGGGATTGAACCATGAAGGATAAAAAAATAATTAATTTTTTTATATTTATACCTAGAGTGAACAGAAGCCTACAAATACATGATAACAATATGAATGGGCATTAACTATTTTAGGATTAATTCCTTTTTAAACATTAAATGTAGAAGATTGCAAAGTAGAGGCACTCCTTGTTAAATGACACTTAACTCTAGAGCAAAGTCTCCTGGTACCAGGCTATAGTGCTTTTAATCCATAGGTCACTCACTTGAACCTATCTCAAAATGCTCATGATTAGTGGAGGGCCAAGGACCTCTTCACTGATCTAGAGATTTATGTTCAGAAAAGGAAAAGAAAATACAAGAATAAAATGTAAGATTAAAGAAAAATTTTTTTTTAAAAAAAAAAAAGAAGGAGAGAGAAAAATTCTGTGATCTTCTACACCATAGCAAGGACCAGGGACAAAATACCAAAGCAACTCTTCCTAAAGGAAATTGCCTATCTTTGCCTATAAAGGTAGCTTTGAAAGAAGAGTATTATATTTTCTTTTCAGACAGTATATAGTATATGAATAGATTAAAATATAGCATTATAGTGCAGTAGGGTATGCCCCTAATTAATGAGTGAAAGACTGACTTTACCTTGGACCAGCAATTTTGATTCTAGTCTTTTAATCTAATGATGTTATCTTTACACATGATATTAGGGGTTTTCTTATTGCTTTGTGGTTTGGTTTTTATTTCCTGGGCATGGACTACTGAACTAGAACTAAGATTTGATTAAGCCACCTCTATCCTAAGATGTGTTTGACTCAGAATAGAATCAATTCTAGAACAATTGCTCTGTGCAGAATTCCAAGCTGAAGGAAAATAGAGCCTTATTTAGTCCAGCCTCATATTGTGCTCCACTTTCAAATACTGACTATGAGACTTCCACGTGGGGATTTAAGTGTGCTCTGCATTTCCAGCATAAATTTCTCTTCACAGCATCCTCACAGGATCAGGCCTCAGAATGCAACTACTTGTAGGCTACTCTTGAAGTTCCTGTGGCATCTCACTACTCCACAGTTACTCTTTTGCAGTCAGTGGGTTTTACATTCTCCTAACTCTCAGCAGAGAAATTATGCCAGTCACAACTTCATCTGCAGCTCTAGAGTAGGGGGTGCTCCTCATTTTTGAGATGAGAATTGTCTGAGAAAATGAATAACATTTTTGTTTGTTAATTTATTAAGCCTCTGCCTAGCACTAGTTGTACCTGGAGGGCCCTTTTGTATTCATCAGACTCCATCCTGTCTTTATTCCTGCCACCTTTGCAGGGACACCTTGCATGCCAAGCTCTGATTCATCAGAGATAATCCCCTTTCCACTGCCCTGAGAGGGGCAAAGGCTGAGCTCCCATGTGGTCCTGGCTCTGCCCTGCACACACCCATGTGCCAGCCCTGCCAGGACATCTCCCACCTGCTGAGGACTGGGGCTACACTGACTTGGGCTCCTCTTTGAGCCACCCACTCCTCAGAGGTCCTTTCTCCAGTGCTGGACTCATTCTTTATGGTGACATTATTTGAGGTCATCTAATAGGTCAGTTAAAGAGCAAACTTTGAACTAGATTTTCTTAAATATGCAGTTGGATAGCTGGTGAAATTTTTGTAATTAATGTAGTCATTAATTTAGATCTTGAAAACAATTCAGGACATTGTGATGTCAAATACATCAATTTTTTGGGGGTGTTTTTCGGGTAAGTTAAAAATGCTGCTGCTCTTACTTTCCCCATTTGCACTACCTATTTCCTATCACAGTAAGGACACTATTTTTCATAGGAAAAAACATTATATTTTCGTTTTCATGCTTCTAACTTTACTATATCCCCATTCTCTACTCACATCTCTCAATTTCTGACAAGGTGTGACTTCCTTTTGCTGCAGCCCAGTTTCCCAACAGGTTGTTGGACTTGTTTCAGCATTCTTAGCTGCCCCTTCACTTCTGCAATGGAACTGACCTTGTTATCTACAGTGGCAATGGCAGACATAAAAATAAAAATAGGCAAACTGGCATACAGATGCTGACTACACCATTGCAATTATGCTGTTATATGTGTTTCTGGAAATTAGATAACCTGTATGGGGCACTATTTTCAGGTTAATAACATTTTATGACGTTTTGACTCCTGAAGCATGGTAAATTTGAGTATTGTCAAGATTTAATTTCACACCATAATTTCTGACTTTTTCATAAAAATTAATTTCTTTTTAACAAGTAAAATAACAAAGTGGTGACTGTGGGCAGTCAAAGATTTTCATTTAAATATGAAATTCTAATATTTTTTGATCTGCTTGTGGTCCAGGACATGAATTCAGCTATATATAACATGAATTCAGCTATATATAACATACAAAAACCATATCTACTTCCTTCTGCCAAAGTTTACAAACCCTCTCTCTGCTTCTTTGTTGCAATACCTTAGGTCTTCAACAGGACCACTAATGACCATGTGAACTCAGAGGTACACTCTTGATTGAATGATCTTGACTTTCTTAAGTAGTCTTAAATGCATAACCTTTTGTTAATTAAGCTCTGGACAGATGCTTTTATTCAGCAAAGGGTTTCAGGATGCTGCTGTGTGCAGCTTCTGGGCTGTTTAGATGATTATCTTTCAGGAGGGCATTGCTGGACCATTCTGCTTAATAGTTCATCACCATTATCTCTCATTAGGAGTCTAGCCTGCACAGAGAACAAGGAAGGTTTTCTCATCCTCATTATTTTCCAAACCACTAATTCCCTGACAAGAATATCTGTAAATCCAAGGTGTTCATTACAATAGCTAGATGAAAATGTGACCTAAAACTGTTGTTATATAAAACAAATTACAGATTCTGACATATTGGTTGTGTTTTTCATAAAGTGAAAAAACACCAACTGTCGTGTACTTAGAGCTTAGAAAATAACTTTCTGGTCACAAATATTTATGTACCTAAATGTAGAAGTTACTAACACTTAAATTCAAATGTAATCTGTTATCTCTTTGTCACTTCTTTAATCCTAAGAAGTTTAGAGACCATTAAATTATAAAACTTTTATTAGATGCAGTAAAATGGGGGTAATCATTTGGCAAGCCTCAAGAAAATAATACCAATCTGTTGGAAATTCTTTACATCTTATCTGAGAAGAGATCAATTACAGGCTAAAAATCTCCTTGGGCTGTATTATTTTTTTAATTTTTTATTTTTTTTTTCAATAAGTCATGTCATTTAAACGTGCTGCTTTCAGACTATCGAAAGGCTAAATAAGCCATACCTAAATTTTCAGGTTGCTGTTCTGGTTAATGTTTATATTGACAAGTATCTGGCAGGAACAGGCATGAAATGCTTCGCTCTACATAATATAACACTCTGGTAGTGTGTGCTTGTAAAAGGAAAACTGGACATTATGCAAACAGACTCAAAATGAGTAATTCACACCTCCTCTCTGAAGCACTTACAGTAAATACAGTAAATCAGGAGGCTGTCTGGGTCTACAAATGTCCAGAAGGAGACTGAAGAGGCTGATCTGCACCCTCTAGTGACCCAAACTAGTTGAAACATTGGCAGCTACAAAGTACTAAATGGCTTGGAACGTTTCCCCCCTAGCCAAAACCTTTATCTTTCTATTACTGGTTTAGGGCAAATAATCAAAAATGTCAATAAAATGGGAAAACTGGACTGCACCAGGATATGTAGAAGCCTCCAAGGACCTTCCTTAGGCTTTAACTTTTCACAGGTGCCAGCCCAGCTGGGAGCAGCTGCACAAGGTGCAGAACAGGCCCATAACATCCATGCTCCCAGCCACCCATCCCCAAAAACAGCGGTGTCACACACCAGGCGGGTCCCTGAGCTCCAGGCAATCCCTGCAAGGGAGGTTGTGCTGCTCCCAGCTTCCTGCAGTCCTGCAGCAGGACTGTCACAGGGATTAGCTGGGGGAAGCCTTGAGTGCATGTTCCAAAAATAAAGGCAGTTGTAGTAATCTGCTGTGGCAAGCGTGCGTGTGTGTGATACGCATTTACTGCAAGCCTAGTGATTTAATAGGATTAAATTCTGATCAGCAGAGAGAAGATTGATCATAGTAATGAGAAGATGGGTACAGTACATCTGGCTCAGTGGCAAACTGGCTTGAGGAAGAAAGTGATACAGTTCAGTGTATGTTATGAAGGTATCATATTGGACCTCAGGCTTATTCGCTATATTAAGTGAGCAATAGTGTAGGAAAATTGGATAGGCTTGCATTCTCCTTTTTAGGTAAGCATCTAATGCTTTGCTGTGATACTTTATTTGATTTCCAGTTCTAGGCATGAAATGAAGTGTTCACAATAATATGGTCAAAAAATTTTCAGTAGCAGTGAACCTGACAGGGAAATCATCTAAGAAAGAATAGACTCCCAGTGTTGCCAAACTCCAAGGCAAGTCTCCAAAGGGGACAGCTCACAGCATACAGATGGAGTTAAGGAAACTACAGGGGGTTAGGCTCTGGTAAAGTATACTATAGGTGGTCTTTACTTAGTGGTAAAGCAAGCAGAGAAAGTTCAAGCAGTGGGCTCCAGGGAATTACCAGGGACTATAATTAAAAATTTGGAGGAATGCTAATGTGCTGAATTAAAAAAAAAAGAGAAAATGTAAAGATTAGTGAAAAAAAGAAGTAGGTCAAGGGAGTAGAAAAGGCAGTGAAACCTGATGACTGCAAATGTGCTTTCTTGCCCTCCTGGCATCCTCAAAATTGATAAGGAGAGATTGGCGGAAAGCAGGCAGTGCATCCAGCATATTGAAGTGCAACTGGCAGACACTTTTAATGAAAGACAGTAATTGGAAAATGTTCTCTCCAAACTACTTTTGCCAGAGGTGTTTTGTTTGGTTTCATTCCTGCTCTATTTTGTGTTTCTAGAACTTATGGCAGGGTGGTTGCTGTTGGTTTTGTGGAGGGTTTTTTTTTGGAACAAGTTTTGTTTTAATGTGCCATTCTGTCACTTTTGCATTACTGCATTTCAGTATTGATTTGCTGCTTTGAAAGTGTAACAGAACTTTCGTTATACCTGGAAGTTTATCAAACATGGAATGTGCAATTTTTAAACTTAGGAAAAATCTCATCAAGAAATCAATACATGCATTCAGGAAGTGTAAAATACCACTTAACGAAAGGAAAATTAAGATGCTTTTCAAAAGTTGCAAACTTTTTTTATGCCATTGTATTTTATTTTTACCATCTTTAGTAAAAAGTCTCTACAGATCCTACAGGTCTCTACAAAAGGATCCAAGAGTCCATCTTTTTTTAGTTCACTCCTGAAGCAGAAGCAGTAAATAACAACTTCCCTAATGTTTATTATCTGATTAAAGAAATTGAGGCATGTAACAGTGCAGAGGTTAAAAGACAGGGAGGATTAAAGGATGAGTGTAGCTAATTAAGGAAACAGCCCTGCAAGCAATTACATACATGGTTAACTTTAAGCACTTCAGCATTAATAGGACTACTCACATGCTTAAGTTAAGCACATGTGCTTGTGAACTGGAGCTTGAAGACCACATCCTGTGAGGTGTTGAGGACGTGTTTAATATAGAAGGCAACAGGATTGCCCTATGGCAGCAGAAGCTATGGATATTGTGCACCAGGCTTCAGGACGGGGTAGCACAGGCTAATTGGGAAGAGGTTGCTCACAGGGGTTTCATGTTAAGTGTTCTAGGCAAATACTGGAGATCATTTCTTTTCAGAAACATTTTGAATCAAGCCTTCATTGATAAGCATTTACTTTTAATGATCTCCCCAGGACTGATACCAAAATTAAGAACATTTTCTACTCTATTATCCAGCAATATAGGGTAAAAAAAAAAAAGCTGAATGGGATCCATTCCACTGGGGTGAGTTGGTACGAAGCATGGTGCCTGTAAAAAGCAGGTTGTGACAAAGTGAAGGTTTACTTCTCAAAGCTCCATTTTAAGCAGCAGCATAAAGTGAGCTACCTCATTCATTCACCTGGGCCCTTGTCAAGGTCAGTCCAGCCCAGCATAACCAAAACTTTGTGCCTAAATGATATATAGGAAGCAAGTCTACATTTGATCCATTGTTCCCTGGATTAATGTCAGTTCCTCTTGTCTCTCCTGAAGTGATGATCTATTTTTTTCAGAAAAGACACAAAATCATTGATACAATAAGATTTTTTCAGTTCACGAGATTAAATTTTAGAAGCAGACGTATCTGTAACTTAAGCAAAGGAATCAAATGTAATTTGGTCACATCTTCTGATGCAACCAAATGATGGCCTTAACTGCCCATGCCAGCTGGGAAAATATTTCTTGCACTATGTTTGGTTTGCTCTTTCCAAGAAGAAGAAATAGCTGTGAATATCTTTTCTTGCGTTGGATTTTTTTTCTTCTCCTGGTGTGCCAAAAGGAAAGGGCTTGTTTGGCATCACACTCTGCGTCGTTTATGGTCTTCCTGTATCATTTCCAGAGAAAGAAATAGTTGTTGACACTGATTTGGAAATTAGAATTAAACTGTCAGCATCATAACTGCCAACCAGTTGAGCAGAGAGTAAAATGAGGAAAAGTGAGAACACAGCCTTATCTTAGGCAGAGTATAGCTCACTGTCCTATAGTTTCCTCAGTTGTAATCCATTAAAATATGTGATTTTTATATATTTGTTTGTTTTTCAGTTCAAAGGAGATGATATTTTTTAAACTAGTGCTGTAAAAACTTTAGTTACTGGTATTTTCTCAACTGCTATCTTCACCAGTGAGACTCCATTAGTAGTGGTAATTGTGCATATTCAAAGGCAAGAAAAGGAAGGCATGGAGGAGAGAAGGAAAGGATTGATTAGGCATCAGAGAAAATGTCCTTTGGCATTAAACTCTTTGTTCTCATGATTTGACTGTGAGGCAGTCTGAAGAGAGACTCAGAGGACTTACAGGGATGGTGCCTTTCTTCTCTTCTCCTGGTTGTTGTTCCACTTTGGGGTGCAAATTCTGGAGCAAACAAAGTGGGAGATTTTACATGCCAGTAGCAATATATGCCTGCTTGGCCTTAAATTCCTGCTTACTACAAAGATCTGACATTTCACAGAAGTACCATTCTCACAATTATCAAGTTCTCTATACCCTGCAGGAGTAAATAGGTTCACCCTAAGAACTCCTCCTAAGAAGAAGGTGAGGTTGTCCTGCCTTCCTCCTCAGCTCTCACATTAGCCAGATAATGCTGGAAAATATTTCTCTTCTGCCTTTTTTGAGAGAGCGTCCATTAGCAAGTCAGATTCTCCCCACTGTGTTCTGTTGCCTCACTTACATGCTCCCATGTACATTTTGAAAATAAACAGGTTTTCTCAAAAGGTAAAAATCACATTTAACATTTTCAGCAGTACCTTTTATGTACTGGTAAGTCTTAACACTGCTAGTGTGGATGCCCCTGTTAATATGAGAAGCGCCAGGTGACATCCCTCTTTCCTGCAGCTGTTTTGTCACGGCTCTTCTGCTACTGCTAGCATCATATCAATGTACTGCTTTTTGGCAACTTTTAGTTACGTTTGAACGCGTACTGCCACAGCTCTCAGTGCTGCAAACAGGAGAGGATTGTTTCCCTAGCCTGTGCAGAGGGCTGGCAGCACACCTATCCCTCTGTGTACCCATAGCTGCACACCCTTCCCTCAGCACTCACCCTTACCCTTGGCTCCCAACGGCGCGGCCTGGCACGCAGGCTGTGCACAGGGCTCGGCAGGAATATCCCAGAGCTGGTTTCTGTGTACCTGAGAGGCCACTGCTGGCTCCTTCACCTTTATGGTTCCCTTCATTTCGACCCCTCAGAGTGAGTGTCTCCTGGCAGCCATGAGCAGCTGCAGGGTGATGAATGCCAGGCTCACCTGGCCAGGCCTCTGCCAGAGCAACCTGCCAGCAGTGGCTTTGGCCTCTGGAGCAGAGAGGAAAATTTGGCCTTTGCTCTGCCCTGGAGTTGCCTCTTAGAATTTCCAATGACAGTATCTTCTAAAGGCCCTAATTCTTCTTAAACCTTGTGTAATTCAACATCAAAGATCATATCCAGCTGTGCTCACTATTGCTTTTTTCTCTCTTCAGATCCAAATCTGTCGCTAACTGCATTTTCAACTTTTTCAAGTTCCTGTGTCTTTTGAAGTGTCACTATGCCTGTGTTCCCCACAGCCTATTCCCCAACCTGCTTTGCACTGTTATCAAGGACTGAATGATCCTTTGTCCCAAATCCTCAAAGGAATATTTCAGTTCTTTCTTTTTCCGTTTCTGAGACAGCTCTGTCCCTTGGCCTGTGCACTTCTTAATTTACTCTTAACATTCAATGCATTTTTCTATGGGCACTTAAAATTCACTCTTAACTTTCCTCATTTCAATCAACATTCACAAGGGACACTTACATGTGTCTTGAATTGTCATTTTATTAAAACCCTTTGCTCCTTTACCATTTCAATTACCATTCTGTATAATATCATTTGCATTTGCATGGTACCTTCACCCATAAAAGACAAAAGTTTTTATTCTCCCTTAACAGATGAGTAAAATGGAATCAGAGAGATTAGAAAGATGTCTTTGCTGCTCAGTACAACTATATGGTCTCCAATTCGAGAGCTTAATTACATTAGAGGAAAATACTGTAAGCACAATGGATTGACATGTAAATCAAGGTGATATAAATTACAGATCCAAATCATGGAATCTTGATTTGAATAACTGCTTTTAATCTTGGTTTGCATTTGCAATTTCCCTTGTTATTCTAAAAGTTTTTGCTCTTAGTGAAGTGCATAATCATTCAAAATTGCAACTGCATATAGCCTTTACTCCAGGTGGAGATTTCTTACTATATACTGTTCATACATGTTTATTTAAGCAGAAAATTTAACATGTATTTATTCAAATTATGTTGTAAAATCCTTAAATTACATTAGTTTACTATGTCTTCAATTTCAGTAGACAAGCTGTTTTTTAATTTGTATCAAAATGAATGTACAATTAGAGCACACAAAATGTACAAACTGAGATTTTGGAAACATGATGTTACTAGCCCCTTTTTTCTGTAAGTATCAATAGCAACATTTATTAAAATAGTTATTAGCATTACATTTGTATTGACTGCACTTAGTGAATGGGAAGCTTGTTTCTTGTCGCTCTAAGCAACATATTAGGACTCCTGATCTGCAGCAGAGGTGTAATGAGATTTTCAAAACTGCACTGACAATCAAGTTCCTGCTTCCAAAGGAATCGATGGATACAAGGTGACCTGTAGGTAGTTTTGAAAATTCCCAGAGGCATCTGTTTGCAAATGTTCTCAAAAACCTGTGCTGGGGACCTTCAGTTTTCTGAAATTAGTTGAGTTCATCCTCACTTGCTGTGTCTATTCATGGATTTTGAAATAACAAAATAGGCTGTTCTTTTCAACTCGAAATTGATCTCATTACTGTGTGTGACTTATTTGGAAAAGAAGCACATGTTCACTCTTGCAGAACTGCAGCACAAAGTCATTTGGCCAAAAGCTTTTCTGCAGTCCTGAAAATACTTACACCTACAAAAGTAAACAGAACCTATCACCTGTGCTGTTACAAAGATAAATATAGAAGATATCAGTAGCACATTATGTATGTTGTTAATAAAGTGTTTAAGTAAAAATAAAATAATGTTTTGGTGATAATGCATATAATTCGAAAAGCAACATTTTTCAACTAATTTTTGAGTCCTTATTAATGAAACAGGATTTTGTTTAGCAGTAAATTATATGAAGTCCAAGTCTTAACATTTGCTTGGTGGACACATAATTTCACATTAAATTTTAAGTAATTTTGAAACTATTTCGTACATATTTATTTTTTTATATTACTTCAGTGAATAAATATTTTTGTCATTTGTTCTTCCATTGAGCTAGCAGTGGACTTCAGGGAACTTTTCATATTTTCTCAGCCCTAAACCCTGGTCATCAAACCCCTCTTGAAGTCCATGAGAATGCAGTCTTGCTGTGTGACTTCTCATCCCTTTTCCTGTGCAGGAGGTCTGCTATTGCGTATCCTCTGAGTGGCTTTTATTAGAAAATGATTTGCAAGTTTTTCAGATTGTTAGACCCTTCCCGTTTTTCAGTATTAAATCTTTCCGTAACTAACACAGTGAGAAGAAACAATCAGAAAGAAAAAAAAAAAAACAAACAACAAAACAAAGAGTAATTTTCTGTGCAATCTGCATGCACAAAATGTGTCACAAGAGATGTGAGAGGAGACAGAAATGGCAAAGGGATGCCTGAAGGAGAAGGGATGGGCTAGTTCGGGCACAAGGAGAAGATGGGTCTGTGGCATTAGAGAATCAGATCCCTTCAGGCCTCTGTGGCTGCCCATCAGGGAGCTTCAGTGCTGCAAAACTAGTGTATCCCTGGGACAGGCTGTGCCCTGAGTGAGTGGGGCATCCCTGGGACAGGCTGTGCCCTGAGTGAGTGGGGCATCCCTGGGACAGGCTGTGTCCTGAGTAGGACACCCCTGGGACAATCAGCAGAACAAGTGCAGCTGCCCCTGAAACCCCTCCAAACCGAGGGAGCACTCCCCCAACAGCCAAGCTCCACCTGACCAGCCCTAGCGCAGACATCACAAAACATTCCTCAGCAAAGGATGTTTTTTACAATGTGACAATTGTCATGCTGTGTACAAAGAAAAGTATGTTTCAGTTTGACATACTGAGAATTACTATTTCATTTCTAACTGGTAATTTTAAATAATTTTAATTTTATTCTAAAGAATGACATTCTAAGAGCTTTAAGAAAGAAATGTTTCATATTTTAATCAAAGGAAATGTTTCATTATGTTTGGGGTTGTTTTTTTAATTTCTCCCTGCTTTACTTTTTCTTGCAGCTTGCTGCAAATTTGAGCTCTCTTTAGTTTTATTTCAGGTTAATCCCATACAATTTTCATTTTGACAGATCTTTAGGCAAATCACAGTATCTGTTATTTATACAGCTCTGTTAAAGCAGTGATATTCACTGCTCATCACTTTAAGGACAAATTGAGGCCCTAATCCTGTAAAGACCTACCTATTTTTATGGGCAGAACTGCTTACTGAGCATAAAGTTAATCACATTAAGCTTGTAAAGCACTAGAGACCCTAGAATGGAAAACATTAAAGATGTGCAAAGTAGTATTTTGACTTTCAAACACTTCTCCCTTTCTCTGCCTTCTCCTGCAGAAGGATGGAGGACTCATTCAAATGGACTAAAAAAAAAAACAGTTAAAATTTCGGTTTTGTGTGTTTTCATTCATTTTTTGCAAAGAATATATTTTTTATACTAGTTATATGTCAGTTTAAAACAATGTCTGTCTACTCAACTTAACTTCAAATATTTTATTTCCATCATTAAAAATACCCTGTAAGCAGTGTGAATAAGAGATGTGCAGACATGTAGAAAATTATTGCTCACCTTAGTTGAGAAGGTGCTCTCAGTAAATCTTTATACAGCTGGGATAATGCCCTGTTTGCTCTCCTTTCTCTCCTCCCTGTTCTCTGCAGAACTCAGATCCCAGAGCTACTGACAAACCAGAAGACTTTGCACTCTTTGCTGAACCTTCTTTGCCTTCTCTGCCACCCAGAGAGCCTGGGAGCCTGCTCTGTGTGGACTTCACCCAGTGTCACAGGTGACACTTGTCACTGTCCTTTTTTTAGTATGTGGGGGAAAACAATCCTCCGTCAGTCTGAGAATGCTTTACATTCAAACAGGTGAGACAAAATGAGGAATAGGCTTCATCTCAGATTTTTGCCTCAACCAGAATTTGAAGCAGAGTTTTCTTAGGATTCTCAAAATACATTCTAAAAGAGTACAGGAGATGTTGATTTTGGGGTTCCCTGGGCCATACTCCTCCCAGTTTCTTTCTTTTGCTCTAATTATCATCCTCTTTCCTGTAACTTGGCTGCACTTTCTCATCACTCAAACAGAGACAGCCTCTGAGACCTACACACATGGTATAGATAGATAGAGGCTGGAAACGAAAGGTATTGCTCCCATGCTGGGCAAGACAGAAATAGAAGAGATAAAGCTTTTGCTAGGGCTGGGAAGTCTGAGAGCCACAGAAAGGCACACAGGTGTAAATCCACAAATTCACACTGTGAGAACGGCTGGACTTGGCGTGGGTGGCACCAGGCAGCTCCACAGTGCACAGCTGACATTGCAGGGAAGCTGTGACAAACCTCAGGCCAGAATGCAGGTTTTATCCTCGGGGTTTGAGTGCAGGTTTAAACACACACAGAGCTGCTGGCGGTTGTTTGTCACGCCGGGGTTCAGAGGTTACCTGTGCACTGGCAGCACAGACACCTGGCTCTGGGGGCTGCCCTTTCCCCAGCACTGCCAGAGCAGCCCTGCTGCCACAGCTCCAGCACACAGTTGTTATTATACTGATAGTCAGTGGTAATGATTCTCAAGACACACCAACAAGAGGGAATTTTTTGGCTGGTGGAGCTGTACCAGGTGCCTGGCTGCCATAAGTGAAGATGGCACCTTTCTGCTGAGAGCTGAGCACACAGAAGAGGTCTGCCAGTGTAGCAGCGAGAACTAGAATTGTGGACTAATTTTCTAATTTAAAAAATAATTATCTGTCATGATTGTTCCAGAAATCTTAAAAATATGAGACCAAAAGACCCTAGAACTATTAAAATTATTTAAATCAAATATTATAATTTAATTTTTTTTTATTTAATCTCATTATTTGCAGTAATGGGGAAGCACAGGTCATGATTTATTTTTTTCTTGCAACGAGAAACATTTGACAACATCTTTGACTCATGAGAGCCCTTCCCTTGTGCCCTGAAACCATTTCAGCCAGTGGAGTCATATGTTGACACAAGTCTCTCTCTGACTTGGGCAGAGTCAGGGTGCAAACAGAGCATAACATTTGCTTAAAGGTTCAAACTTCTTTTTTTTTAGTCTTCCTGGTACTTTTCAGGAAATATGTGAGTATTGATACCTCATTTCTTAAGTACCCCAAGTACTTAAGAACAAAGCAACAAAGATTTTTTTTTTCATTAAAACTTGAATTTTCATAAAAATTGATATAGGAAATAGCCTGTCGTTGATTGGAAAACATGGGAAAAAAATCTACATGTAAATCCTCATAACATGTCATTAGCAACAATCCTAATAAAAGTTATCTCAAGCCAGAAGATTAAGGGATTTTTAACATGTAAATACAGATGCAAAGAAGAAATCAAGACATTCAGGTCAGGCTTCCATATGAGTAAATATATTCTTTAATTTATTAATGAAGTCCAGAATCTTGTTAAATTGTTTATTAAACAGAGCTTCAGTATCTTTTATGTCTGTAGCTGAATGTATTTTAAAGAGTTAGAAAGTCAATACATGAAAGATTAAAATTGCGTGATTCACTAGTCTCTCACAGCAGGGTGGCCAAGTCTGCTCCCATTAAAGCTGTCATTGCCATGGTACCTAAAATAACAACATTCACAGACTGAGCGAAATGTACACATGGAGGTTTTTAACATTATCGACCAATCAATATAAAAGTAACAATTAATAGACAATCTTGTTCATCAGTGTTCTGCTGCAAACACCCATCTTCTAATTTTGTGCACATTCCATACTTACTATTCTAGGATTTGAAGGAATTTGTATCAGTCAGGCTTGCCACTGATGCAAATACAAGGCACCTTCAAAAAAATTGTCACTGTAATTTTGTTGTGTGCCCACTTCTCTCGAATCCCAAAGTTTTTCTGCACAGCTTGAACAACACACTCTCTTGCTGATAAGGCACTGAAAGACAGCTATAGGTTAGAATACATGAAACTTTTTTAATACCAGCATTGTTCTCTTAGAATAGCAACTTTCTGGTTGAAGTTTTGCTAGGTTGTTTTTCCTTTTTTCTTTTGCATATTGTGTTTTGACGACAAGCATTTCAATCATTTTAAATCAGAAAGATTGAAATGTCATTTGTTTTAGAATAGATGATACAAAACATAAACAATTACAGCACTGAAGTGTAATTATACATAATTGGCACTCCAGCAGCTCAACTTCTCTGATATAGTTTCATAACTTTATCTTACATCTCTTATAAAGAAACTGTGCAGATGGAAGACACTTTACAAGGAAGGCGTTGACATGACAGTGATTTCTTTATGGTACTTTCATTTTAAGTAAAAATGTCTGTGAGGGAGGTGTCAGGTGAATTCAGAGTTATTTAATAGCTTTTATCTGTTTATTCTAGTTGGCAAATATGTGTGAGTGTGCATGCTTCCGCACAATGTACCTATGTGATACATGGTGTATTTTAATACCTAGGTATCAAATTACTACACCTTATGGGAGTGGAGTATAGCAAATTTTGGCATTTAACCACATTAGGGTAAGCTTTAAGCAAACAAGAAAAAAATGTTGTCAGCAAGTGTGTTGTAGCACAAAAGACCAAACCAATTAACGCTGAAGTTAAATGATGTGCTAGGGCCATAGACACAACAGGGGAAATATCTACAGCCATACTTTTCAACAGAATAACCACCGTTTTTCCAATTTTTCACTGGCCACTGTGCCTCCATATCATCAATCTTTATAAGTACATAAGAGCAGTAAATAAATGAACACGTAATGTTTAAGCAATTCACACATAAATTTATGAACATGCTGCAGTTTGTGTTTTTGTACTTAGAGCGTCATCTAGTGGGAAGCTGGGCTTATGGAACATCCTGTTTCTTCAGCACCAAGTAGACTGGTTTGTAAAAAGCAAAATAATACAGCAAAGATAGCTATGAAGTGAGAAAGCTTTCTTCATAATTAAATTTTACATTTCTATAAAAAATAAAGGGGAAACTAGAGTATTGGAGTAAAATTAAATTCTTGTAGACTTCTGAAAATTTATTATGAGATATCAATATATCAGATACAGTCACGCTTGCATATCTCATAACAAATCTTTATGCATACAGTTTAAAATTATTTTATTCATATTACAATAGCCATAAAGTGGAAGAACAGTTGCTCCTCAAATTAAAATCAAAGCTTTATTCTTGAAATAATAACTCAAAAGTTAGGATGTAACAAATCTATTTTTAATATTTACAGGAAGAACATAGTTTTGCATGAGGAAACCTTCAAATAAATAAATTGTCGAGAATTTCCTACAAAATCATGCCTGGACACTATTTCTTCTCTGACAGAGGGACTCAGGCAGGTCAGCTTCTTCCAAAGTCAGCTTTGCTTTAAACCTTAGAAATAAATAGCTACCTGAAAGGAATAATGTTCAGTTTAAACAGTTAGAAAACAGCAGAGTTACTGAAATTCATCAGCCAGTACAGATTTCTGCTGTTTTCAGCTGTGATGCTACTTCAGACATCTTGGAGTATAATTCATTGTATCATTAATTTATAAGGGATACAATTGCTGAGTCTAAATAAAAATCTCTATGGGGTGCTACTTTATTATTTTTTTCATGCTGAAAAGAAAATTGGAAGCCACCTGGACTATTGACTAAACTTTAAAAGGATTAAAATACCTGCGCCAAAATTTTGAATTGATCCAAGTCTTGGTGGAAGGTTTTTTTATGTTTTTACAAATCTCTTAACTGATTCTTTGAGAGATAATTATCGAAGTGCTATAAAAAAAGGCAATCTTAGAGGAAGTTTTGACCAGATGGAAATGGATTGGAGTTTGTGTGTGTGAGATAGCTGACCTAAAAATATGTTTTTTCAAACATCTTTCTTCTTTACCAAAGACCTCAAGACTTTTTAAGACTGGAGATGGACTTTTTAATAGCAGGACCTGTAGCAATTGACAAGTGGTAATGATTCTAGGCTGAGAGAAGTTAGATTTAGACTGGACATAAGGAAGAGATCTTTTGCCCACAGTGGCTGGATGACAGGATCTGTAAAGGTCCCTTCCAAACCAAACCATTCTATGACTGTGATTCTGTGATTTGTCACCATTTTCTTAATGGGGATGGGAGAAGGTTCAGTTGAATTTGAGGCTGGACTGAAAGATCCAGGACTGCCTGTACAGCTTGGGACTAGAAATTGATGATTTCCCTCTCTGGAGGACCATCTTTAAAGGGAAGCTGTCTTACTGTAATGAAGAAGAGATACAGAAAGACATCAGCAAGGGAGAGAGGTAGAAAGAGAAACAGAAACATAAAGGGAAAGTCTGACAAATATAAAATGTCATGAAAATTAATAGACAGCAAGAGAAGAAAAGGAGACTGTACAATGGGAGAAAACAGGGACTGGGAAAAGTTCAAAGAAAATACTAGCTTAACCTCAGTAACCCGCTCATACTGTAAGGGCAGAGAATCTCATTTAACATTTCTTAGGTTTCAGAATTCATTCTATGCTGAAAGAATACTTGATAAATTATTTAGACAGTTTCAACCGAGATTGGAAAAATCCCAGCCTGTCAGAAGCTAGGTTAAAAAAGGTTGATGCTGTATAAATAATTTACTTCTTTGGGGAGGAAGAAAAACATACAAATGCTGTGTCTAGAGTAGAGAAGTGCTAAACCTGCTGAAGCTCAGTAGCCATATAGAGAGTTTAAGCCAGCACTACAAACTGAGTGCTCCCATTTAAAAGCAGAGGTTATGCCAAAGCTAAGTTATCAAAAGAAGGTCAACATTAAAGATTCCACAATTCAGTTCTTTCATATATGCACACTTTTAGCATCATGAGAATAGTCCAATTAAAAAAAATTATAAAAGCCTCTTTTTTCAGTGATTTGTTGTGGCAATTAATTTAAGTAATGCAAACTTATCAGTGTTGGGTTTTCTTCATTTATTCGTTTCATTTCTATAAAACAGACACCCTCCAGCTTCACCATAACAATCCATTGTCCTTAGCAGGTAGTTCATATTCTAGTCAGAACTGCTTAACATTTCAAGGGAACCAGGTCATGGGGTTTGTTTGTTTTACCATGAAGTAATTATTACTTAATTTTTTTATTATAGTATATTTTAAGACAAATCACCATGGTAACAGAGGAAAGAAATTTTTACATATGTATTCTATTACGGTTTTTATTTCAGTAAACAGAGGTACAGAATTTGACAGCAATGACCTTCTATTGCAACATACCAGCTCTGTGTAATACTTGGAGTAAAGTAATTTCAGTAATATCAGATGCACAGTGAGCACACAAGCTGTCCCTACTGCCAGCTTAGCTTTGCTGGCTGTCACAAGTCTTTTTCCCTTGATCCTCACTGAAGTCTACAGAAACTGAAGAGACTCAGCAGCCCAGGAAGGATAAGGTCCTAAATTCTGTCCTTACTTCTGGCCACTACAATGCCCCTCAGATAAGTAAAAATCAGCCTATCACTTAATTGTGTGTATGGTCAATGCAGGCAGTGTATTGAATGACATCAATAAAGGGAAATATTGTTCTGGCTCACATGTATCAGGACAATCTCAGATTTGTGGCTAGCAATAGAAAATAAATACTATAGATCTGGAAGGTGATTGATGGATTAAAACTCTGCAAAGAGGAGTTGACTAGAACAAAATACCTCAAAACTCCTTCATGTGTGCCCATACATAAAACTGGAATTCCACTTGTCTGCCTCCTACACAGCCCTGCCAGCTCCCCAGGCTCAGCCAGGACATCTGCACGTCAAAGCTGCTGTACAGAGTCTGCCTTGAGACTTGTCAGTAGAATTATTATGTGTTCCTCTCCCATGCTGAAGGAGATTCACTTAGATTTTCAAAGTATTGCCTGTGAGAGCACATCAGAGAAGCACACCCCATAATCTGGCTGACCTGTGGGGGAGGCTGGGGGAAACAAAGTCATGACTTTATTAATTCCCAAGAAACTTAAAAGCGTATGTCCTCCAGCATGACAACATCTACTGCAGGCACGGCCATGACCGAGCCACGTGCACCCCGTAAATAGAAATACAACACTTTCTGTCTCTCTTCAGTGCCCTCAGAATGCTTTTTTAACTAATTCATGTAATTTCCTTCTGCAATACTGATGTGAAGAAGATTCCTTTGTTTTAACCTATAAGCCTCGGTCACCTTTCAGCTCTGAGAGGCTCTAACACCTTGTGTCTGGGGCTTTAGCCAAGGAGAGTGACAAATCCCTGCCCTCCTCAGCATTTGCCCAGGGACTCCTCTGGATGTTTCAAAGACTTTGGGATGGATCAGAGGCAATCATTACATCCTGATTCTTGTCAGCTCTGAGGTCTGTGTTCAGTAAAGATACATAACTCTTATCACAATAGGATTTGCCTGAAACACAGGCTTTAATTTGGTATCTTGTTTTCCATATTAATTTTTTTTCCCACAAGAGCTGAATGAAGAGATAAGAGTAGGAAGCTTTCTCCTTTGCATTTACAATGGATATTTTTACACAGCCAGTGCTCAAAGCAGAGATACATGTTCCAGGTTGTCTAAAAGTGCTGTGGATGAAGAAAATAACCACCCTCAGGATTAGTAGCAGAGTATTTATATGTAGGTATGGCAACAGCTCGTAAAGTCATATGGGCTTTGCAGTAGGGGGTAAAGTGGGGAGCAAGAGAGTTTCCCTTTTAGAGCTATTTTTCAAAATAAAGTGCCAAATCTGCTGTCTACGATGGAATTCTCCCATTTTCTAAGACTAAGCTCAGCTAGTTCATACTTACTGCAAAATCAAGTTAAAATTTTGTATGCCTGAATATTTTTTAAAAAAACTAACTTCAGAAAAGCAATTCCTTACTATTTAACCTTTTCAAATAAGGCTTTATCCCTTGCTTGTCATAGATCAAGGGGTTTATCAAGGTTTTTATGTATTTATTTACTATTTTCCCCAGACTTGTCAATTTGAGCATAACAAATGGATAAAGGTAAACAGCACTAAATAACAATAATAAAAACTGAACAAAAGTAAATAGAAAATTAATGTCCTTGTTGAATTTGATGTCATCCTTTGCTTCCAGAATTAGCTGCCTATTCCATATTTATTTTCTTCACATTTATTTACATGTGCTACCAGAGGGGAAAAAAATCACTAGTGGGTAAATATGAAACAGGATTTAAAAAGTCTCTTGCAGTATTATTTTTTCTTATATAGACCTCTTGTCACTATATGAGAAAATACTGGCATGGCAAAAGGAACAAAACTCTTAATCTCCTCTGCCTTTTATTAATGACAATGCAAGCTGGAGAGCAGGAAGGGGTTTCAAGAGTGCAGATCCCTACCCCAAAACATCCCACTGTACTACTGGGGTTCCTCTGGGAGAACAGCTGAGACTCAGACGCTGATGGGAGATATGTGCCATTTTGCTTAAATTCTCTGTGAAGAAAAAAAAAAAAAAAAAGTAATAATCAGGTGGGAAGCGTAATTCTTAAACTGATACGATATATTAGTACATGTTCTTAATTGCTTGGTTGTTGTTTTAAGATGTAAGACACAGGAAGGAGGTGGAAAGGGACTTTGTAGTGCGTGTGTGTGTGTGTGTGTGTGTGTGTGTGTGTGTTTGCAGCCTGTCCCTACAGGGTGGCTCTCACAGGGAGGGTGTCAGGAAGCATCATTTTGTCTAAAGTGATGTAGCCCATCACTGACCTGGCACAGCGCCGCCTTCCAGGCATCCCCTTGGGCTCTGCTTCAGTGCCAGTGCCCGCAGATGCCAGGGACCGAAATGTTAATAGGGACACCACAGCTACCACTGCGCTCATTGGAAGCATAATCGCGGGGGCTGGCTTGGGGGAGGAGTATTTAAGCTGCATTTTGTTTCAGTTCTTGCATGGCTGCATAACAACTAGCCGCTGGCATGGAGGCTGTCCCCGGCTGGCCGCCGGCCGTGTCGCTCCCCGGGCCGGGCCGGGCCGGGCCGGGCC